AGTGGGAGAGGGAGAAGCAGACTCCCTGCTGAGCTCGGAGCCCCATGAGGGGCTTGATCCCATGAACTGAGCCAAAACCAAGAATCCGATGCTCAACTGACTGAGCCACCCAGGCATCCCTAGAGTTTTTTGGATTTCTTATTTGCTATGCTTTCTAGTTTGTTTGTTTTTTCCTCTCAATTCTTTTAGGCAATAAATAGTACCACCTTATCTTTATGTAATGCTTTGCAGTTAAAAAAATTTCTTTTTTCTCACAAGAATCCTGAGAAGTTGATAGGGCAGATATAATCAACTAGATTTTACTGAGGGAAAATGAAATTCAGAGAAATTATATCACTTTCCCAAGGTTGTATGATGGCTGAGTTAGAAGAGCTGGTGGAACTAACATTTACTGAGTATTACCAAGTACCCACTTAAAATACCACATTACTTCAAATAAATGTATGCTGGGTGAGCAGACTCTCCTGTGGCTAAATAGTGAAATAGTTTATACCTGATAAGTTTTATACTTAAAAAAGAGACTGTGAAGAGAGTGTTTTTTAAAAAAATATCTTTTCGGGGCGCCTGGGTGGCTCAGTCATTAAGCCTTCGGCTCAGGTCATGATCTCAGGGTCCTGGGATGGAGCCCCGCATCGGGCTCCCTGCTCGGCGGGAAGCCTGCTTCTCCCTCTCCCACTCCCCCTGCTTGTGTTCCCTCTCTTGCTGTGTCTCTCTCTGTCAAATAAATAAAATCTTTTAAAAAATTAAAAAATATTTTTTCTCTTATTGTTATACCACTTCTTGCTCTTGTTTGAGTGGTTAATTTGGCTTGATTCTATGAGGAAGCTATGCTATCTTTATTATTTATCCCTGTCCCTGTTGTCTAAAAAAATTCAAAGGAATATGCTGTGCCTGATTGTTATGAAAGAAAATATTTTCTGAATATAAACAACATAGTTAAATGTAAAAGAGCATTTTGACTGAAGGAGAGACTTGTTTGTATTACCACAAAAGTTCAGACCTGCAATCATTTCCATAATTATTGCTATATAAAGGTATATTTATTGTTCTGCACCCAAGGTAAGGATTTCAAAAACTTTCTGAGCTATTGACAAACTATAGGAGACTAATAATCAATGAAGACATGGAACAGCAGTGTAATCCTCATTAAAAAAAAAAAATCTACTTTTAAGAGTGAAAATCCTTCAACCACATTCTTTTGTTTCTGCCCAGGACCCTGACTACACATTGTGAGGTAACGCCAGGTGTGGAAGAAGGGGGAAGCCTGTGTTAAGATGAAGAGACAGGTGGAGATGTAGTTGTGGTGACATAATACACAAGAAGTGAATGAAGAGGATGGGTGTTAGACCTCCACACAGAATTAGCAAATGTTAATGAGATTATTTCTAGCTGAAGTAACAACTCAGCGTGTCTACAGGAATAAACTAGGAGACTGTCATTGGTCTATAAAATGATACATTAAAAAAACATTATTTAGCTAGTGGAGAAAAGGTAGTGAGGGAAATCTTGGCTTGGAAGTGATGACAGAAGCCAGAAGCTCACTTGTTTTAAAAGATTAATGTATATAATGTATATAAGATGTTTTGTCGGCATCTCTGGCTTTCTCTTCTCTCCACTTAGCCATCCTCCCTGGAAAGTTGGCTCATGTGTGCTTACATGATGAAGCCCTTCCTCTGTTGAATAAGGATGTAGATTTTTTCTTTCTTTTTTTTTTTTTTTGCCAAGGACAGTATCTTCATCGTTTCTAGATATTAACAGGCATGACTTGGGGGTTGCATCATATCAATTACGTAGCTGATCCCAAACGTTTTACCACCAAAAAATATTTTGGTTATCTCTACCCACAACCACAATTTCATGTTTTGAAAGATTTTTGTTGTTGTTTACAAAACAAACTACATTTATTAATTTTTTTAAAATTAAGGGCATATAATCAGAGCCTCCTATCAGCAGGAAGTAACATGGAGATGATATAATTCAGAAACAAATTTGGGGAAGCCTCTCCAGCCTGACTGTAGATGGTGTAGGATGCCATTTGATATTTTGAAATATTCTAAAGGTTGTGGACTTCCATTATTATCTTCATAGGTCCCTTAAGGATTTGAGAACTTCGGACTGGGAACTCGTGAATTAAGCAGCAGAGTTCTGAGGGACAAAGTGCAGATAGGTTAACTGCAGTAGCAAAGGGGGAAATTAGAAGAGTCCAGAGTATTAGACATTAGGGAAAAAAGAGGGTGGAGGTGAGGTACCATTCTTACTAACTTTAAACCTGTATTTTGACTAGAAACCTATTCAAGTGATAAAGGTTTACTGATAGTTCCATGATTTTCCCTTATAAGGCACTTAAACTGAGCTTATATTTTCTTTATTTTTTAAAGATTTATTTATTTTAGAGAGAGCACGTGCCTGTGCAAACCCGTGCATGCGTGTTGGTGGAGGGGCAAAGGGAGGGAATCTTGAAGCAGATTCCCCAGAACATGGAGCCTGATGCAGAGCTCGGTCTCTTGACCCATGAGATCATGACCTGAGCCAAAACCAAGAGTCAGGAGCTCAACCAACTGAGCCACCCAGGTGCCCCTAAGTTTGTATTTTAAACCATTAAATACCAATTCAATTCAAGTCAATTAGCATTTGCTGAGCACTGACTGTATACAAAGTGTCATACCAGGTGTTGTGGGTGGGAAAGGAAAAAGGAGCTAACATTTATTGACTACTCACTCCATGGTTAGAAGTTGCTAGGCATGCAGCCCTTTGAGATGGACATATTTATAGATGAGGCTAACCACACTGGCCTCCTGTTATTTTTCTGGGGCATGCTTCTACCCTAGGGCCTTTGCTCTTGCTAATTAACCATTGGAATGGAAAGATCTTTCCTTGAAAAATCTGTATAGGTAGCCATTGTGCAAATACAACCTGATCAGTAATGCCTTCTTGGACCACCCTATTAAAAATTGTAACCCTTTCCCCACCTCAGAGAGTTAAGTAACTTGCCCAAATATACGGAAATGACACTTCATTTTAAAATAATAAAAACCCAGGATCTCCAGTGTGGGTGCTGGAATAATAATTTTTTTTTTAAATTTATTTATTTGACAGAGAGATAGCACAAGTAGGCAGAGCGGCAGGGAGAGGGAGAAGCAGACTCCCCACTGAGCAGGGAGCCTGATGCGGGGCTCGATCCCAGGAGCCTGGGATCATGACCTGAGCCGAAGGTAGCCACTTAACCGACTGAGCCTTCCAGGCACCCCTGGAATAATAATTTCTTAGATGAGTAGAATTGTTGGACCGGGTGTTCCATGTCCCCAGGATTGGTTGCTGCCAACACCACACTGGCCTCAGGGGAACTGTCCCACTGTTAACACTGTGGCCTGGTTTGTCTGCATAGAATCCCTACTTACGTTACCCCCCTTAGCCCATAGCTAAGGCAAGGTGTTAAAGGGCAAATAAATTGTAACTTAAAGGCTGAAGCAGCGCAAATGAATTAGAGGAACATGGAAATAGGTAATCTGACTGAAGGATTTAATCCCCCTTGCCTCCTCCCACTTTTCTGAAAGGAGCTTCCTGAGGCATCAGTCACCATTTAATTAGGGAGGCCATGTCTTTCACAGAAGGATCTGCTCACACTGTGTCAGGCCTGAATCCTACCTGACACCATGGCCAGGGCTTATTTTAAGACAAAAACCCCACTAAAAAAGATAACTACAGGCCAATATCCCTGATGAACATGGATGTAAAAATTCTCAACAAAATAGTAGCAAATGGAATCCAACAGTACATTAAAAGAATCATTCACCACAATCAAGGGGGATTTATTCCTGGGCTGCAGGAATATATAAAACTATATTATAAGGCTCAATATTCACAAATTAATCAATGTGATACACCATATTAATAAAAGAAGGGATAAGAACCATATGATCCTCTCAATAGATGCA